AGTGAAGTCTGAGACGATTGATTGACACTTTACAAAGGAATTATTTACTTTATGGATCGCAGATCTTTGTGATTCTGTAATTTTGTGTTTGGATATATTCGATTGTCCCACCTGTGTTCTTGTTCACTACATCATGCTTTAGAAACTGTAGTGTCTTGAGACAAGATTAATTTTCCAATGTCGTAACTTGAGTTAAATATCGATTAGTACTACCGATACAGCTTTTTGCTATTGACTGAGAATTACTCCTTGACTGTTATTTAATGCAGCAGAACATGACTGTTTTGTAGACAGGGGGAGGAAGATTGATTGATTCTTTAAACACATCAGTTTACATCGAAAATAAAGAAATCAAGTTACATAACACTCTCAATCAACAATTCTTAATAAATTGAACTGGTAATTAATTAGTAATCCAAAGGGGTTTTGCCGAAATTTCAGTATTTTCATAATCATATGCTAATTAGTGACTGACTTCAAGAGATATTTCCTGGAGTTCTAGTGGGAAGCAGTGACCAGTGTAGTTCAACCAGGTCTGTTGGGAGATATCAACTCACTGAAGACAATTGATGAACGATTGCTCAAACTTCGTGGATTGGTTGAAGTTAGAAATTAAAACCCTTGGGTGACGGTTCAGTAGTCTATCGGTTGAGTGTTCTGGTAGGTCTTGGGTTCGAATCTCGCGAGGCGGGATCCTGGATGCTCACTGCTGAGGAGTCCCATAATAGGACGAAACGGCTGTCCAGTGCTTTCAGGTTTTCCATGGCGGTCTAGGTTCAATTGAATCTTGATTTCAACTGTGAAAATTAATAATCTAATGTACAAATGTAATTCACGTAGTCAATAAACTGACTGAGAACTACAATTCATCACTAAGTAACCAATGTGTTTACTTCTTAAAAGAAACATTTTTGTCAATGGAACTTATTTAATAATATGTTCTGAAAACACTAATTACAGAATTTATGCCAGTCAGTTTACAGGCATCATCATCTTGATCAAAATGGTAACACCACATTTAGACAACAGATATGTAACATAAGAATGTTATAAGTTGTTGTTTAGGTAGTACTTTCATGACATGCATTACAGCTGGGAAATGCATCGGCCAGGAACTTTTAATCCTTGTTAAGTGAACATCCTGTTGATTTATGAATGGTGCATCGAAGGTGATGTCCTACGTCGTAATGAATTGTTTATAATTTTATTATTGAACAATCATTTGAATGAAACTCATCACTATACATCGACTTTGGTGACTATGAAAAGTCTTTTGACAGAGGGCATAGGAGAAACTTACAAAAATTTCTTCGACACTATGGAGTACCTGAGAAAACTATCAACATCATCTGGAATTCATTCGACGGGCTACAGTACGTAATCGTGTATAGAGAACAGCTGATAGACTTATTCCAAGTGATCACCGCAGTCAGAAAGGGCTGCTTACTCTCCTACCTCCTCTTTCTTCTGGTGGTTGATCGGGTTATGATGACCTCCACTACTCAGTGGAGGCATGAAGTTCAACAAACAGCTTGCATGCAACTAGACGACTTGGATTTCACTCATGACCTGACCCTTCTACTCCATACATACGAACAAATCCAGATCAAGACAACCAGTGTAGGGGTAGACTCTTCAATGATGGACCTCAACATACACAAGGGAAGAAGAAAGATCCTAAAATACAATACAGAGAACACCAACTTAATTACACTTGATAAAGAAGCTCTGGAAGAGGTGGAAATTTTCATACACGTAGACAGCATCATCGACGAACAAGGAGGATCCGATGCAGATGTGAATGCAAGGATTGACGTAGTAATGGAAGCATTTATACAGTTAAATAATAGCTGATTGTACAATTAATCAAATCAATGCAAACGACTATAATGCTTTGCATATAAAGCTAATGAATGACTCATAATCGTTTTCATATACTGACTATATGAATTAGTAATTATAATCTGATTATAGTCACCATAATCTATTAGTTTTAAATGGAATTCTAAGTAAAGTTACTTGCATAAATTAAACTAATTCCTAACCGGTTGCTTAGGGCGACTCTCAGTTACTATACATTAAAAACAATCATAGAATTTGATTAAGAAAGAAAAAAGGAAATGGATTCTTTCAGATTAACGCGTTTCTTATTCTTTCTCTTAGCAACGAAATTGGCTATAAGGACTCAGTGGCCTAGTGGATAACGCGATGGCGTTTGAAGCGAAAGGTACTGGGTTCGAGTCACAGAGTGAACATCAACAGGTCTGAGATGCAGGTACATCCAGATGACCAGTCCCAAATAGGACGAAACATGCGTCAAACTGGATTCCACTGTTAGCCACTATCCATCTTTGCTTACCAAGCTTGTGAATTTAGGCTATATCGAGGCAATACACACAGTATGCACATATGTCAATTAGAGATTGACCAGTTGCAGTCCTAAAACCCTCAATGGGAAGAACCAAACAAACAATACTAAGTAAATTTGAATAGTTACTTAGCTATCTAAATGACTTGTGAATCATTTTACTAGTTTCTTCTCGTATATTTAGTAAAAATCTGTTAAACGAGATAAGTAAGCACACTAATTGATCACTTCTATGTCATCCTATTGAATAATTTATAAAGATAGATCTCTACCAACCAACTTTTAGTTCTACCACCATCCAGTGTGACTAAAATCCTAGGTATGTTCAGTGTAGTAGACAGCTCGAACTATCGAACTACTAGGTTAACGTTTAGTGTAGTAAACTAGAACACAAGCTGGGGCAATCAAATGTATTTAAATACAATATTACAGAATATCTTAGTAAAATCGGAGGACCATACAATAAATGCTTTATTGTCTCAGACTTCATTGTTCCTGCGTTTTCATACCAATTGCTTTCTGTGCCCCGTTCTTTCCTCCTTGAATTTCTCGATCTCCTGGTGCCAGATATTCTGTTCTTGATTAGCGTCATACACAACTTCTGTCGATATAGGTAGCACACATCACACTAGTAATACACAAATATACTTAAACACTATGAGATATACAGTACGATGATCATTCAATGCCATTAGTAATGACTGATTTATAAATGATCTGGATGAGCTCTATTGGCCACGATTTATAAATAAAACTTCAGCAGTCTATCTAGAAGCATGTCACTAGTAAGCTCATGATTATAGATGTTGCGGAGTTTTGTGGACATATGTTCAATTTGACGATGGAATTCATCACGTAACTACAATTATTATCGTTTTGGAAAACATCATCAGAGCTTAATCCATGTAAGATATTTTTCATCATAAAGGAATGAACTGGCATTCATAGAATGTCAAAAGTGTATTGTAGTTTCATTTAAACGAATTTCAACTCAGTTTTAGATGAGGTAGAAGATGTACCCTATTGAATAGTTTCATACTAGAAGGAAACGTTTATCCAGTATTCTACGGTTTTTAGTAGTTGTTTGGTTGAGGTTATCTACTGATGTACAGTATGGATATCAGTCAGTCAGTAAGCTACAATATAGGACCAGGCACATATATGCACCGGTCCAAGTTGCTACACCTCATTAGCACAACAAGGTGAACACTAAATTCGTAGGAGTAGTCACTTCATTGGTAGTAATATATAAAAGAAAGATTATGTATAAGGATATAGTACAGGAAGAAAGAATTAGTTGATAGAAAGAAAGGTAGAAAGTAATTTTAGTCTCATGGTTTAAGAGAAGACAGAGACTGTATACATTTATGTTATTGTGATCGATTTCGAACCATGGCACTCGGAGTATAACCATTAGTTGCGATAGTCATACGGACCTCAAGCAAGTAGTATGCATCTAGCAACATGGCTCTAACCAGAAGTTAACGACTTCAAGGACTGGAAACACGTTTTGGTTTGGCCACTCCTTACTTTCTTCCAACCACTCTCAACACTAGTTAGCAAGTATGGATATTATAAGATTCATTTCATGAGCAACGCTGAGGAACTTAATTCCTAGAGGTCTTCAAAACTAAAAGTCCTGAAAGGTAAATTTATATTCAGAAAATGTAATTAGTTAACCTTTGAACGCTTTGCTAATAGAATTAATCCATGTGAATGACAAAACTTTCCATTTTCTACTAAGATTACAGTTTAATGAATTCAACTTAAAAAATCTTTATCATATTTCTCAAAAACATTTAATTATGTAAGAAAGTACTAGCAACACTCAACGGGGATGGTAAAGTACTAGACTATCATTTCATTCTAGAATAGAACTTTTCAACGCTAAACATTCATTACTTTAATAAGAGTTGAACCCATTAATTCTTAAGTTGAATAGTTCACTGCACACTGATGAACTATGAATTCATTCTAATTTAAGTAATATGGATGTTTATTAGGAATTTCAAATGCAACTGTGAAGCTAACCTATAAGTTACTTATAATGTTTAAGCTTAAGATGCTTAAGATAGTTTGAATAATTATATGAACTAATGTAAAATACCATGTAGTTGCGAAGATACTGATAGAAAAAATTACTGTTCAATAGTGACAAAAGAACAACAACAATGTTTCTGAAACTATTCAATTTTATTAAGATATCACTTCACGGCTCTCTAGGCTAACCCCAAATTCCCTCACATGGCCACGTGAATACAATCACTGTCAAGGAAGTCCTACTAACTGCCTTCTCGTGGCAATACTGTTATTTAGGAAATTGATTGGACCAAAAGTGAATGTCTAGCACTCAAATCGAGTTGGGGAATATGGAGGATACACTTAGAGGAGTTGAAAAACTCTGATTCTAAACCAATAGTGCATATGAACTTCAGGATCCTGAGGGATATGGAGGTGTATGAGCCTATTTTTGGTCGTAGGTCATCATGAGACTGTATCTCCTGACGTTGTTTCACTGCCTTGTGGATCAGATCTTTAGGTCAAACCCCTTGATTCGATTTGAGCACCCATTCAGCATCCCGGCCCTCACATAAATCTATTTTTTATGTGTTTCAATGAAATAAATAAATATTTAATAAGTACTTCAATAATTATTTTGTATTATCTATATATACAATTTATATAAATAACCTGAATTGTATAAGGTAATGCATATTGTATCAAAAAACTGAAGATACTATAAACCTGATTTGAATGGTGTTTACTATTGCGTTCAATCATTAATATAAATGATATTCATCATCTTCCATGGAACGTTCCATTAATGGTGGCATACACAGAGAAGATGAAGAATAGGGAATATCTTCAGAAAGTATATGAGAATGGATAGTATTAATTTGATTGTAAATGTTATTACATTGTAAAGGTAGATCATTTGTACATGAATGAAAAGTTTCCTTAGATTGTTGAGTTTGAGTATGGTTACATTGATTTGGAATGTAAATATGATATAATGGTGTAAATGATGTTGATGTTAGATATGAATATGAGGAGTTGTTCAATTTTAATGGTTTAATTCCTGGGGATTTGTTTCTGTAAGGAGATGATTCTGTGATATCGGCTGGAGAAGGTGTAAAAAGAGAATAAAAAGGTGTTACAGAACATTGGAGATTCAATAATATATTAGTCCGGTTAGACTTCTAGTAGAAGAATTAAACTAATGCTAATGGCTTCAATAGAATTAACACCAAGCCCTGAACTTAAATTCCATACCACTTATAAGCTAAGAGTATCTGAAGTCTCAGGTAAAATCAACAATCTTCTTTGTAGATTCCAGTCCTTGTTAACTAACATCAAAGTCGAAAACGTTGAAATCACCTGACAAAAGTCACTTGGCATTGTTTCTTTGAATATTCCCATTGATGTTTAGGACTGAGATTGATCAGTCTCTTCTTGGCATATGTACATACTGTGCGTATCGCCTCATTATAGACTTAATTCACAGTATGTACATATGCCAATAAGAGACTGAACAATCACAGTCCTAAACTTCAATGGGAAGATTCAAACAAATAATTCCAAGTGAATTTGAACTTCACCTTCTCACACAAGCAAGTGGCTATCAGGACTCAGTGGCCTAGTGGATAACGCGATGGCGTTTGAAGCAAAAAGTACTGAGTTTGAGTCCCAGAATGAACATGAACTCTGAGATGCAGGTACATCCAGCTGACGAGTCCCCAATATGACGAAACGAACATACTGTATTCCACTGCTAGCCACTATCCATTTTTGCTTACACCCGACAAAAGATTGAAAATTCCGGATTTTAATTGGTTGAACAATGATTGTTGATACAAGTTGTTCGTTAAAACGGCTTATAGAAAGCGTGACGAAGCTTCTGAAGGTTCTGAACTAGTTGAAGAGAGTCCAAGCAATCATAACTCGATAGAAATTTCTGTAATGTCAACGTGGCATGCTATGATTGGACAGTTGTATAAACGACCTACTTGCAGATTGACTGGATTATAATGATGTTATAACTTAGACAAGAAACTATAAATATACTTGCTCTTTCTCTATATTTTTGACAGTTACTCAATAGACGCTTCTTCTGCTTTTCAATTCGCGATTGTGGGTTTTACGCAATCGAGTACCAAAGCTGTATATTATATTAGCTATAATAATGTAAAAAACGTATTTAAGGTTAAAGCTTCAAGATTGTTTTAGTTATAGGTTTGGCAACTGAGTTCCTTTATTAGGATACTTACTTACTTACTTACGCCTGTTACTCCCAATGGAGCATAGGCCACCGACCAGCATTCTCCAACCCACACACTCTGGCCTCGGCCTTCCTTTCTAGTTCTATCCAGTTCTTGTTCATTCTTCTCATGTCTGTCTCTACTTCTCGGCGTAATGTGTTCTTTGGTCTTCCTCTTCTCCTTTGACCTTCAGGATTCCATGTGAGGGCTTGTCTTGTGACGCAATCAGCTGATTTCCTCAAGGTGTGCCCAATCCACTTCCAGCGCTTATTCCTGATTTCTTCCTCCACTGGATGGAATCTTGTTTGTTGTCTCCAACAGTAACTTGTTGCTGATAGTGTCTGGCCATCTGATCCGAAGTATTTTGCGTAGACATCTGTTAATAAACACTTGTATCTTCAGGAAAATGGCTTTCGTAGTTGTCCACGTCTCCGCCCCATACAGTAGAACTGTCTTCACATTTGTATTGAAAATTCTGATGTTAGTGTTGGTTGACAATTGTTTTGAGCTCCAGATGTTTTTCAGTTGTAGGTATGCTGCTCTTGCTCTGTCGATCCTCGCCCTCACATCTGCATCAGATCCACCGTGTTCATCAATGATGCTGCCCAGATATGTAAAGGTTTCCCCATCCTCCAAAGCTTCTCCGTCAAGTGTAATTGGATTGGTGCATATTGTATTGTATCGGAGAGTCTTGCTTTTCTCTTTGTTTGTACTGACACCTACTGCTGCTGAGACTGCTGCTACATTGGTCGTCTTCTCCTGCATTTGTTGTTGTGTTTGTGATAGAAGAGCCAGATCATCCGCAAAGTCTAAATCGTCAAGCTGCATACTTCCTGTCCACTGTATCCAGTGATTTCCTCCAGATGTTGACGTCTTCATGATCCAGTCGATCACCAGGAGAAAGAGAAAGGGTGAGAGTATGCAACCTTGTCTAACACCGGTCTTTACTTCAAACGAGTCTGTGAGTTGTCCTCCGTGGACGATTTGGCAGTTTAGTCCATCAAAGGAGTTCCGTATGATATTGACTATCTTCATGGGCACGCCGTAGTGTCGAAGAAGCCTCCATAGTGTCGTCCTGTCCACGCTATCAAATGCCTTCTCGTAGTCGATGAAGTTGATGTAGAGTGATGAATTCCATTCGATTGATTGTTCCACAATGATACGTAGAGTTGCGATTTGATCTGTTCACGATCTATCCTTACGAAAACCAGCTTGTTGATCTCGAAGTTGGGCGTCCACGGAATTCTTCATCCTGTTTAACAATACTCTGTTGAAGACTTTTCCTGGTATTGAGAGAAGAGTGATGCCCCTGTAGTTGTCGCGGAGTTCCTTTATTAGGATAGCATATTCAAATAGTTTTTCGTACAATATATACTACTGAAATACTTTTAAATTGAGATGAAAGGGCTTATCAATTACTTTCATTACTGATGATAGTTAGCAATAAACAGCTGATTATTATTTCTATCATTTTGCATAGTACCATATAATTCATGACAATAATGTACTGTAACATGAAACTGTCAATAAAACGTCCAATAACTTACATTCACTATCAATATGTCTAAGATTATTGCATCTATCATTGAAGTTAGTCGATTGTTTTGTTAATTGTATATTTACTTCCAAAGAAAAAGCTTCATTAGAATGATAGGCTATTAATAATTGTAAAAAAATAGGTTTATCAAAGTGAATAGTGAACATTTATATCAAATATGTAAAATATCAAACATTCACTTAGTATTGTTTGCTTATTTGAATCTTCCCATTTATGCTTAGGACTGCAATTGATCAGTCTCTAATTGGCATATGTGCATACTGTGCGTATTCCCTCGATATAGCCTAAATTTACAAGCATTATAAGCAAAGATGGATAGTGGCTAACAGTGGAATCCAGTTTGACGCATGTTTCGTCCTATTTGGGACTGGTCAGCTGGATGTACCTGCATCTCAGATTTGTTTATGTCCACTCTGGGACTCGAACCCAGTACCTTTCGCTGCAAATGCCATCCAGCTGACGAGTCGCAAATAGGAAAAAACGCGCGTCCCGGATTCCACTGCTAGCCACTGTCCATCTTTGCTTACCAAAGATTCAGTTTTCATATTTATTACTATTGTGGTGTGTGCTACTGATATCGATACATATAAGTAGTATATATCATCAATCGAAAGTGAAATTCTTGGAGGCAGAAGGTTAAGAAAATCATAGAAAAGAGAACAAGCACAAAAAATGATTACTATGGGGACAAACGAACGAAGTCTGAGACGATTGATTGACATTTTACAAATGAAGTGATTACAGTTTGGTTCTCAGATTTTACTAAGATATTCTGTAATCTTGTATCCAGATACATTCGATTGTCCCTACTGGTGTTTTGGTTCACCGCAATATCATTATAAACAATCTATCCATTCAGTAGTCAGTTCATTGTGACATGTATATTCAGTGATTCTTTTGTAATGACAAAATAAAGATCACATGATTTTCCTATTTGTCACACCTCATATGTAACCATATTTATGTTGAATATCTATTGTTTTCCTGTATCGATGGTAAAGAAACGAATGTATTTGTTTGGTTATACGTAATATACACTACACTACCGCGGTTCTTTAAATGTAGACGCCATCTCTTCACCGTTCATTCTTCTGCTTTATTGACCACGACCTTTGATTGAAGATTATAATAGCGTTATAGCATCCTTTTAGGCCTTCCCATACTACGTAGGAGGAGTTTTGGCCCGTATCATTAATAAATAATACTACAGGATTTCTTTTTCTTCATTTTGCCGTCGGTGCCATCACGTACAGAGGGACTTTTATTAATTAAGTGAACTGATTTGTGGTTATTATGTCAGAGATCAGCTTACAAGTAACATTCGTTTCATAACAACTGTTACCATTTTGTTGTTCAATATAACTTTTTACACTTTAAATGTAATTCGTTACCTTTTGCGTTACTCATAGACATACGCTTAGGTTTGTAGTGTTAATTCTTTTGGTGTATTATTAGTAACTTTATATGTTTTTATATCTTGAGTAGGCTCTTTTACTGGGATCCACCACAAGATAAAGTTTCGGATAGTGTAATAAAAAAGACACAGATTATCAGAACTATGTAAAGTTTACTTATCCAAGATTATCTAACACCCAGTACTTAGTTATTCAGAAATTAAAAGGAACAGATGAAATGAGCCTTAAACTAGTTTCAACAAAACATACCTGAATTTATTTGATCTTTCCGATAATGTGGACCCCAAATGTTGAATGAACTTGTGTTACACAAAAAAAATAAGGAAATGGACACAATGATTATTAATTATTTAATAAACATTATGATTATACAAAAATTTATGACAATTAGATTGATATCATGAACAGATCAATGTTAGATCATCGTCGAAAACCTGGAAATAGCAGACGGCTGTTTCGTCCTCGTGTGGGACTCTTCAGCAGTGTACACTGTTGACTGGCTACAAGATGGATTTCATGAAGTTCTAGTGAGAAGCCGTGACCACTATAGTTTAACCGTATCTGTCGTAAGACAATTACTCAGTGAAGACAATGGTGGATGGTGGTATAATATCATGGATTGGTTGAAGTTAAACATTAACTTCATTGAATATCAGCTCAGTCGTCTAGAGATTAAGCGTTCACTCGTGAGGTGGAAGGTCCTAGGTTTGCATCCATTTGGTGTGGAATTGTGGATGCTCATTGCCGAGGAGTCCCATATTAGGACAAATCGGCCGTCCAATCCTTCCAGGTTTTCTATGGTGATCTAGCTTCAATTGACTCATTATTTCAACTATTAAAGAATCTATAATCCGATCACTTTCTCAATACCTTTGTGTTTAATTTATCATCTTGAACAATTGAGCTTGAAAATAATCGTATACCCACTTATGGTGAATATTCATGGCTAGTGGAGTCCAACCATATCTGGAGCTAAAATGTCATTACAGATTATACTGAATGAATGGATCTAAATCTTATTTATAGGAAAAGTAAATTTCTTCCTATGTAAAAAATTTAAAAACGAAAGATAAGTATATGTGCACTAAGGTTATTAATGGAATCCAGGTTAGGTATTTCGTCCTTTCTGTGACTCATCAGCTAGATATACTTGCATCTTCATGTCAATGTTCTCAATGAGACTTGAATCCATTATCTATTTCCTTAGATGTCAACGAATTCTATTGTAAAAGTTTATAGTCGGATGTAAACAAATTAGTTGACAAATTATTGATTATTTTAAATCTATTAAAACTTATAACTAAGAGGAAATAGCTAAGGGTCCTATTTAAGATTTATATCTAACAAGTAAAAAGTGAATGATTTTTCTGGTTAGCGTTTTTTTAGCCAGTTGGTTTTCTACGGGATGGGGTAGCTTACCCCATGCCCAACCCTCCTCCTTTATCCGAGCTTGGGAGCAGAAGTAGTCCTTGGAGGAGCTACAGACAGAGAAATGGAGACAGACATGAGAAGAATGAACAAAAATGGGATAGAATTAGAAAGGAAGGCCCAGGGCAGAGTGGGTTGGAGAATGCTGGTCGGCAGCCTATTCCCCATTGGGAGTAACAGGCGTAAGTAAGTAAGTAATATGAAAAGTAAATTTACAAGAAAAATAAACATTTCATATAAAGAAAGATAACAGAGCAAAGATAAACATAAACAGAGGTTATTCATAAAACGTTTTAGCTGATATACCTAATCAAATAACAAATGGAATGACCTACTTAAGACTGAGAGAGACTAGGTTGATTGAATATATATTGCTTTCATTAACATAGATCGAATTTCTTCACTACATCTTGATGACTGATACCATATCGAGATTATATAATCATGTGAACTATCAACATAGTAACATGGAATCAAGTAATCACTTACCCACCAGCCACTCTAGTATTCTCGTAAAATAATGAGAGGAAACATATAAACATCATTATTAACGCAAACTTTCTATCAGAAGCGGTTTTGTGGAGATTTTAGTAATTTTATAGAGTTGCAATCATGAGTCAATTGAAGATAGACTACCATGGAAAACCTGAAAGCACTGAACGGCTGTTTCGTCCTATTATGGGAATCCTCAGCAGAGCGCATCAAACTTTCTATGTTTGAAGTGTGATAGATACCATTAAGGATCATGATAGTACTGTATGATGAACTGATTAAAATAATAAACGTGTTCACTTGGTTTCCAAAAGTACATACTACTGAGGAGTCTTATAAAAAAATCAGACAGTTCTTTATTATTCCTCAAGTTTCAATGGCTTTCCAGTTACTATCCGTCCATGACGAAACAACATTTTAATTTTTTTTGTTAAAGGCAGTTTTATGCAAAATTTATCTTATAAGCAAAGATGGATAGTAGTTAGCAATGGAATCCAGAATGCGGATTTCGTTCTATTTGGGACTCATCAGCTGGATGTAGCCGCACCTCAGAGTTGATGTCCATTCTGCGAATCGAACCCAGTACCATTTGCTTCAAACGTCATCGCGTTAACCACTTAGCTACTAAGTCGTGATAGCCACTTGCTTATGCAATGAGATTACCTTTAAATTCATATGGTATTGTTTATTTGAATCTTCCCATTGATGTTTAGAACTGCAAATGATCAGTCTCTTATTAGCATATGTGTAACCTGTGCGGATTGCTTCCAATTTCTCACAAGGCATGAAGATCAAGAGTACATCTTGCTAGGGAGTCTTACATAAACAACCAGATAGCTCTGTATTATAATATAATAATTGATAATATACATGGTACATACTTGAGATTTTCCAGTGACATAATATCGGTTTCAGAAAATGTTGATCTTGTATTTCGTTTAGTTAATTCATCGTAATCTTTAGATTTTTCTATCAAATTGTATTTATGATCTATAATGTGAATAATGAATAAAATAAAAGTATAAATAGATGTTTATGTTTATCTTTAACTTAGTTACTATGGATAAATGAATTCCATCGAAAATTATTGATAATTACTATCGGTTAAGTGCTCTGGCGCGAGACTGGTAGGTCCTGGGTTCGAATCTCGCGAAGCGAGGTCATGGATACGCACTACTGAGGAGTCCCATAATAGGTCGAAACGGCCGTCCAGTGCTTGCAGGTTTTCCATGGTCGTCTAGCTTCAATTGACTCACGCTTGCAACTATGAAAATACTAAATCTCCACAAAACCCCGTCTGATAATTACTTAATACAATTTGTGGGAGGCAAAATCCAACTCACACGTCCTCGTCATGCCTCCTGGATCATGGCAACTATCACATGTACTAACATGAGCGGTAATGTGGGTGGTGGAAATCAGCCTAATCAACTACTCTACCTATACCCGCAAACGATTACGAATGCTACAAACAGTCATTGCATAACTATTGAGGGTTCAAAAGGATAGTAAAAAAATGAGTCTGTCCAAAAAGAAAAACCGAATGTGAGTGTTATGTAATGGTTCTGCGTAAAAAGTGCAAAAACAGCTATCCCGCCCCGGTGGTTGTGCCGTGCCTCGATGTAGCACTCTTCTCCTGAAGGGCCTACTATGCTTCACTATGTTCCTATGGCTGGAAGGGCGGAAATGACATTTTGTTGTATATCACTAAGATTTAGGCATTTTATATTTAGTAAGATGTAATTCAATAAACCCTCAATATAGAAATTCGATATTCATCTCAAGGGATCTAAGTTAATGAGTTAAACTCAACTTAAGAGAAGATAACAATTGGATTGTTCATCTAAAAGCGAAGTGAATTATCTAAAATATGTACAGAAGTATCTTATTGATTTAATTTAATACCTTTTGAGATCATTTGACAAATCCAAATGCTTAGCATTCAGTTACACTTTATGATACATTAACCAAACTATGAGAACCATATGAAATGAGTTCAACAATGCCAAAAATCTTTCAACTGAATTATAACTACAGTCTCAATAACTTTATAGAATAATCTTTAACTATTAAATAACAAGTGAAAAGAAATTTTATGGTATTTAAAGATGATGATCATAAAGCAGGGAAACTCATGAGCACCAATAGATTATTCAAGAGAGTATCCTCAATCTCAGAAATCTTAAAGGCACTGCCATTTGTGCATTATAGATTTTCTCATTTCTTTAGATTTTTGGATCCACAGGAATGTATACGTAGTTAATTAAAGTTAATTGACGGAGAAGCCCTAGTAGAGGTGGAAGCTTTCACGTACGTAGGCAGCATCATCGATGAAGAAGGAGAATCCGATGCAGATGTGATTGGAAGGACTGACGTAGCAAAGGCATCATTCCTACAGTTTAAGAATGTATAGAACTCAAAACAAATGTCAAGCAATATCAAAGTCAGAATCTTTAATACGAACATCGAGACAGTTAGTTCTATTGTACGGAGCTGTAACTTGGAGAACAACTACAGCCATCATCAAGTAGGTAAAAGTATTTCTAAACAATTGTCAACGTAAGATACTGAATTTCCGTTGACCGAATACCATCAGTAATAGCTTACTGTAGGAGTGAACAAACAAGTTCCTAAATGAAGAGGAAATTCAGAAAATACGTTGAATGTCGATAGGACATACATTATGGAAATCATCAAACTGCATAACAAAACAAGCACAAACTTGTAATCCTGAAGGAAAACGGAGAATCAGAAGCAGATATGATAAGGATAAATGAAAACTGGAAAGGATTATCTTGAACAGAGTTCTAACAAGAATGTTGTTGTCTGGCCTATACTCCTCAAGGAGAGGTAACAGAATTAAGTAATAAGAATAATAATTAATATTTTTTTCTAAATTAGAGTAATCTATTAGTTTTGTATTCAACTACATAAGTGCCCCCAAATGCCCTGGTACGGCCGAGAGTGGGGAGAGTCCGCTCTCACTCTCGAAATGCTCTCACATGGCCACGCTTATATAGCCTCTGACAGGGAAGTCCTACTCACTACATTCTCACAGCATTACTGTTGTTTACGAAATTGAGAGGACGAAAAGCGAATGCCTGGCGCTTTAAGCGGGTTGGTGGACACGGAAAGTTCACCTGGGGGAGTTGGAAAACCCTCATTCCAAACCAATGGTACACATGGGCTGACTCCAGTATCATGAGGGAACAAATGGTGCATGAATCGTTGGTCACCGGATACCATGGGACTGCATCTCCTCACGATGTTCCACTGACTTGTGGATCAGACCTTTAGGTCAAAGGCTCCGGGTGTGGCCCCCTAAGAAAACCACCTGCTTCAGTTTGGGCACCTGGGCAGTATCACAGCCCTCACGCAAATCGAATGAGATTTGTGAGGCGCATATGTATCTGGTGCTTCCTTGTACCAATATTTATGTGTTTAAATAATAATAATAACAACTACATAAGTCATTTATTTTTCTACAAAAGTTTGAAAAACAACTTTTATCAATTGTTCACACTAAGTAGAATGTTTTGCATCAAAACTACTTCTATCCGTTCCCAGTCATCAATGTATTGATAGTCATTTAAGAGAATAGACAGTTATCATGCTGAGTTACAGTCATCATCATGGGGTTTTTGATGACATTCAGTCATAAATACCATGTCATCAGGTCAATTGAATATATAAACATCATTAATTGGATATTCTATAGGCAATTCAACTATGAAACAGGAAAACATGATGAATTGACATAATGTGTATATTTTACTTCGTTAAAAGTGGTCTAAGAAAAGGTAGTCAATGATTCATTCGTTTACCTACTACATAAAAGTATGATGACTTGGTGACAAAAGTATTTCATTGTAAATTACAACAGTTAAATTCATAATGACTTGAACATATGTTTTAATCATTAGAATTCTATAAACCAAATTGGGTTTAATTTTGTTTTAATGATTCATAGTTAATTTTATGGTGAATCATTATAAAGTCTTAATGAGATTATTCAATATTATAATTGACTTCTGAATAATTGACAATATACTGGTAAGGTTAGCTGAACAATTTAGACTTTGCGGATGATCTGGCTCTTCTATCACAAACACAACAACAAATGCAGGAGAAGACGACCAATGTAGCAGCAGCCTCAGCAGCAGTAGGTGTCAGTACAAACAAAGGGAAAAGCAAGACTCTCCGATACAACACAATATGCACCAATCCAATTACACTTGACGGAGAAGCTTTGGAGGATGGGGAAACCTTTACATATCTGGGCAGCATCATTGATGAACACGGTGGATCTGATGCAGATGTGAAGGCGAGGATCGACAGAGCAAGAGCAGCATACCTACAACTGAAAAACATCTGGAGCTCAAAACAATTGTCAACCAACACTAACATCAGAATTTTCAATACAAATGTGAAGACAGTTCTACTGTATGGGGTCGAGACGTGGATAACTACGAAAGCCATTTTCCTGAAGATACAAGTGTTTATTAACAGATATCTACGCAAAATACTTCGGATCCGTTGGCCAGACACTATCAGCAACAATTTACTGTTGGAGACAACAAACAAGATTCCATCCAGTGGAGGAAGAAATCAGGAATAAGCGCTGGAAGTGGATTGGGCACACCTTGAGGAAATCAGCTGATTGCGTCACAAGACAAGCCCTTACATGGAATCCTGAAGGTCAAAGGAGAAGAGGAAGACCAAAGAACACATTACGCCGAGAAGTAGAGACAGACATGAGAAGAATGAACAAGAACTGGATAGAACTAGAAAGGAAGGCCGAGGCCAGAGTGTGTGGGTTGGAGAATGCTGGTCGGTGGCCCATGCTTCATTGGGAGTAACAGGCGTAATAAGTAAGTAGTGAGGTCACATTTGGGGATGATAGTATATCAAAAAGATGTGTTGATAATAAGTAATTGTAAGTACTTTCCAGATGATTCTTTTGACGATGACAGATATGCTGCCTACAACTTAACCGACGGCATCTTCAATAGGAAAATATTCATATTCGAAGCATCATCAGACAATATACTAACATTTTTGAACATAATGATTACCAGAACCAAAAAGGGAAACTTGTGAATCAACGATATCTGAACTCAACGCATACCAGTCATATATTTAGATACATTGGAAACAACTCAGTAGCTCATAAACTAGACTGTACGCAATCACTATTTAAAAAAAGAGTCAAGACACCACTATGATAAGGATAAATGAAGGAGTATTCCTGATGGAAAACTGGCTACCCAGAAAACTTGATCAAGAAATGTTTATCAACGGTAAAAAAAAATCACCAAATGGATAGTTTCACCCCATTGGAATAACATTCTCGAGATGACGAGCAGATTATCATAACCACTAGGAATGATTGTGATCAATAAGCTGACAAATTCGTTGTGAATAATATTATACAAACCAAAGGACATAATGATAAACGAAAGTAATTCGAACATTATATATAAGATAAGTAGTGGCAACTATGAATGAAATAACCGCCCTCTATGTCTACGTCTAAATGAACACTAGTTAGCTGTTAAACATCATTGCAAGGATTTACTTATACAAATTCATGTGGACAAGTAATGACATGAAGTCTGCGCAGAAAACGTCGAAATACTAGGCAGAGAAAACTTAAAGAAAGCAAGAGGACTTTTCTGAACTAACAGTGGAATCCAACTAGAGACTGACCAGTTGCAGTTCTAACAAATCGGTGGGAAGATTCAAACAAACAATACTGAATGAATTTAATAGGAAAAAGGCATGACAACTGAAATGTCAGGGCTTCGGTCAGAGGAAGAAGCAACCAAAGCGAACATGTAAACAACGACCAAGTAGTTATAGGTAAAAACCAGCCAAATTTTAAGCTAACAGAACAAGAACTTCATCAGTTGTAGAGAAATTTTATTAGGTCACTTCTCCTATAAATACGCTCTGATAATATTGTCCATAAAGATGATGAAAGCTTCAGAGTCAAATGATTCAGCGCATAGATCAGAAAAGCTCAAACATTTTCATGTTGAGCTATAAATATTCTTCATTATCTTCATATCATCCATAAAATGACGATTTTACCGAAGACTGACTATTAGTGTAATCAAAAGCTAAAGCATTGAAATCAAAGCTCAGCTTGATTTAGTCTTGGACATGTATCAAATTTATAATTTATAACCATTTATTTAAATTTTCTTGAATTCTAGTATGACAGGTAACGAACGAAATCCCTAAAATTAATCGAATGAGTTTGGGCTTTTTTGAAGTTTCACATAGTCTAGATAAAGTTTAACATATTCAACAAGTATAGAGGGGGTTCTGTACATTAGTGATCTACTATAGTCATTAAACTATTAAAAATCAAATAGCACTGAACAGCTTAATCTTCCTTTATATCTAAAGATCTAAAGTTTGATTATTAATGGAGTCGTAGATCCCCATTATTGAATGGTTCTATACGAAGATGAAACAATTATTCAATACTTTTTGGTTTTCAAACATTATTTAACCAATCTCAATCTTTAGATAAGATATTGTTTGGAGTTGGTCAACAGGAAACCCTGGACCCGAGTTTCGTGCTACTTTGAACTCTTCAGCAAGGTGTACCTGTAATCTTAAGGGAACTGGTTTCTCCCTGACGGATTTGATCCCGTGTCAGTCAACTTCACAGTCACAGACGTCACCACTGATGTACTCGGGTCGCGACCAACCTCCTGTAGGACTGAGATGTCATCAATCTTTGATATAAAACGATGAATACCTAATAAGAGTTATGTATTCACCAAGGGAATATCACAAGTATCAAAACAAATTCAACGTATACTGTTCCCCTATCGCATCTGAATGTATGAAGAAAACAATAAAAAAAATAAGAAGGTGTTTTGTGGAGATTTAGTATTTTCGTATTTGAAAGCGTGAGTCAAATGAAGCCAGACCACTATCGAAAACCTGGAAGCACTGGACGGCCGTTTCGTCCTATTGTGCGACTTATCAGCAGTGCACATTCACAATCCCGCCTCACGAGATTCGAACCCAGGATCTATCATTCTCGCACCAGAGCACTTAATCGATAGACCACTGAGACGGCATCCAACGGTGTTAATGTCTAACTTCAAACAATCCACAATTTTGAGCGATCGCTCACCAATTGTCTTCAGTGAATTGATATCTCTACAACAGACTTTGTAGAACTCCACTGGCCACTGCTTCCTACTAGGACTCCAGGATTTACCTCTCGAAGTCAGTCACTAGTGAAAATATGATTATTATTATTATTATTATTATTATTATTATCAGAAGGGGTTTTGTGGAGATTTCAGTATTTTTCATAGTTGAAATCATGAGTCAATTGAAGCTAGATCATCATGAAAAATCTAAAAGCACTGCATAGAAATCCCAAAACAGGACGAAATGGCCGTTTAGTGCTTCTAGATTTTTCATGGTGGTCTAGTTTCAATTGACTCACGCTTTCAACTATTAAAAAAAAGTTTTTTTTAAAAAAAAAAACAAAAAAAAACTTACATCGAAATGAAGATTGTTCTGAATAATTTTTTTTCTTATCTAATCTCCATGGGATATCTGACATAGAATAAACATGTAATTTATTTAATTTATTAAAATTTTTTAAAATTTTTTGTTTATTTCTTGTTGCCCATAAACGTAACTGTTACAAACATTTTTGAAAAAAAAAAGAAAAAAAATTTTTTTATTGAAATAAATATACTACTGATTATCTCTATTATAAATTAAAGTATTCCAAAAAAAGAATAAACAATGAAGCTTTGGACAGTTATTTGTTGTTATGTACTACTGATGTTGGCACATATAAGGGTGAGACTATAATTAATGGACTAGTCAATTAGTAAACGTCTGACGGATTTCATGATCACAATGTCAATTTCAGTAGTTGATGCTTATGTACAATCGGTTCATAGTGGATTTTAGAGAAAACGTAACAATTAAACGGCTACAATGAATGGGACTACTAAGAAGTTCTTCTATTTGTGATTATAGTAATCAATTGACTTAACGACATTGCACAGACTACCCTAATGATGTTAACTTTCGATGTAATAAGTATTAGAGGAAGAAGTATGCTTGAATAAAAACTTTTTTTCGCTCAATCCAAATTGAGACTAAGGCAAATTATAATAATGAAAGCACTAATAACATTGGCTGCAATATTCGCAGATGTTACTGAAGCTTCGGATGTTCAGAGGTATAAGTGTTGTAGGGATATATGTGTAATAAAAATGACAAATTTACACAACCGGACTACATACAAACAATATGGAAGCTATGTGGTCGAGGCTGAGAGAGTTTTTGTAACCTTATCATGGCTCCAGAGACCGACTAAAATGGAGTCGTATAACTAAGTTCCTCTATCTTATGCATTACGATTTTAGAACCCTTGAACTTCTTTCTAACCTTAAAAAGCTTATAAACCATGTAAAAGAAGTGTATCCCCTTTAATTCTTTGATTTTGTATAATATATTTTTACTCTACACTATCTGTTATCCACCTATTTCCAGTTACTATTCATCCTTTACATGTATTCATCCAATTACCGACGTAGTGTGTTCTTCGGCCTTCTTCTTTTCTGTTTTGCTTCAGGATTCCACGTTAGCGCTTTCTTCGTGATGCAGTTTGATGATTTCCATAATGTATGACCAATTGACTTTAATCATGGATTAATATTATATACATATTCTTATTCTATAACTATTCAGTAACTAGATTATGTACATCTATATTCCTCTTCTTATAAGCTTTATTTTGATCTATAGATTATCATGATATGATTTACTATTCCTTAGTTATGTTCAGTTTATTGGTTACAGTCTCCCATGTTCATAGCCACTTTTTGGCTTGATATTGTATAAATGTTAGATTCTATTTTATGGTGTGATGTGATCTGCTTGGCTACTGTATAAACTAAGTATGTTTAAAATAAATGATTTACATAGTGGGAGCTGTTATTGACGTTCTGGACTCCGGCGGGATGGCTAGGAGAATAAAGGACCCCTAAGGACTCTGGGCTGCTCATACCGGTCGAACGTCATTAGTTTGGCATAGTATCAAGATTGTATAAGTTTCATTTCCATTATGATTATCCGTGCTTGAAATCACAACAGTAATATTAAATTTACATTATAATGCGAACATAACAAAATGTTTCATTTCCAAGATCTTAGTGCTTAAAGCAATTCAGGTGCGCAATCGGAGAAACATATTTAGGAAAAAGACACATAGAGCTGTGTATACATGGACGTCACTGACTTCTGCTAAATAAATTACAAAAGAGCTTTCGTTAAAGTGCCATTCAGTAGTGTACCCAAGTTGTGTTCAGCAGGTAGAAGTGAAAAGGAATACACCATAGGCGAACTTTAATTACGCAATAGCGGTTATCTGTAAAAAAAATTAATAACTAAGTATAAAGCAACTATCATAAAGAAAGTGAAATATACTACGGTTGAGAAAATCCTGACTTCAACGGCTATGAAATAGATGGAAATATTGCTTTCAGACCAAAGACAATGTTATCAAGGATGTATCCACAGGCTAATATAGTCTGTCACGGGGCAACCAAACCCAGTGTTTTATTATTCTTTATGGAAGTTATTCATGAGAATCCAAGATGCTGGCATACAAAATGTGCTTCATTAAGTAAGAATAAAGTGTGATAAATTTCTTTAAGACTTACATTAGCAACCATGTTCAAAGTACTTTCACCATAATTTCGAAGTGGTAATTTCGGTGGTTCATTCGTATGTTTCATAACAACTGAATCAGTTGAATATCTATCTGAGATGACATCTTGAAAACATGAATTTTCATGTGAACGTAAACTGCAAGTGGAATAATCTTTATAGGATGGTCTAGAATCAAACTTCTTGTTAGTTGGATAATGAGTTTTATCCGATTTCAATTCGATTAATTCACAGTAGACATGTGCATCGGAGACAACTGAATCCTATTAAGATGTTGTATAGAAAAATATGAATAAAAAATAAACTAATGAATTAGGCATCTTAAAGAGATCAGTTATTTTGGAATGAAAGTTTTCCACTGCACTCATCAACATGTTTTATCAGCATTGTTTTAATGGAATGTTGTCACTAAGGCGATTAAACTAAGTAGGTTTCAAGACAGTCACCATAGTCCGTTGATCGTTACTCTGTATCTCTAATAGAAGAGATCCGAGGTATTGAATGCCAACACAGTGGTTTGGAGTCTAATTATTTCCAATGAGAACAGAAGGTCCAATGTTGGACCTTTGATGAGGTTGTGATTACAAACTGATGAAGAATTTCATAGTAGAACGGAACACTTATTCAATGGTTCCCAATTGATGACTACCAATAACTGATTGATACAAAACACCTCAACAAGATTTTACTGTTCTGTATCTGAGAATTAATGAATATGAATCTGACTAATCTTAGTTGCTGATCGAGTTCTACTAATCACTCTTGGATGTGTCTACTGGTCTAAACGACTGTACGCTTTGCTTTGATGTAAATAGTTGAATTCATTCAGTAAAAAACTGTGAACATAAGCCGCAAGCTCCCTTCGATATTTAAAGATTTAAATTGTAAAGCGTTTGACCTTGATACTGAATGAACTGGGTTTAACAGTCACAAGAAACCTTATTTCCTCTGAATGTTCAAATATATCATTCCTGTCAAGTGGACACCATAGAAAAATTCAGCTCCATAACTTTCTATTCTATTCTACATAGTCTTAAACAGAGGGTACTGCAGCGTCAAATCACGTAGACTAATAGAACTATAGTAACTTAATCGAAAGTATCGAATCAACATTAAGAGCTAAATAACACTAAGTATTTCCTTAGAAACTAGTAAACAGTTAATTCCTACAACACAATCGTTTTAAATATAATCCGAGATCAATGATTTAAGCTAGAAGTAAATAAGACATTTCTTCAGTTTACTCCATGAATAGATTTGTCATTTGTAACGAAGTATTCTTTCACTACTGAAGAGTCCGATACTAGGATGAAACAGCTGTCTAGTACTTCCAGGTTTTCCATGATGGTCTGGCTTCAGTTGACTAATGAACTCAGTCATTAAAAAACATTTGTTTTAGATAGCAATCATTTGTCTTGTATTCTTGTCAAAAATTCTTAACTGTATAACAACGCAATCAGTTTTGCTTTTCAACTAAATAAATATGTAATGAGTATATTATTAAATTATTACTGAGTGATCAATTACTATGATTTATTCCGAAATGAACTACTTCTATACGCATATGCACGGGCACGGTCGATAGTGGAGTGAATCAGCTCTTTCTCTCTCGAAATGCTCTCACATGGTCACACGTATACAGCCACTACCAGAGATGTCCTACTCACTGCCTTCTCGCGACGATACTGTTGTTGACGAGATTGAGAGGGCCAAAAGCGATTGTCCGGTGCTTTACCCAGGTTGGTGGATATAGAGGATCCACGTAGACGAGTTGGAAAACCCTGATTCCAAAATCAGTGGTGCACATTAGCTCCGGGATCCTGAGGGATGAGTAGGTCTATGAGCCTATTGTCGGTCATAGGCTACCATGAGACTGCATCTCCTGTCATTGCTCCACTACCTTGTGGATCAGACCTTTAGGTCAAAGTCTTGAGGTTCTGCTTCCTAAGAGAAGCGCTTGATTCGGTTTGGGCCCTCGTTCAGTGTCACAGCCCTCACACAAATCATTGATAACTGCTACTGATCACATTTCTATTGTGTTGCGCATATGCATTCTGTGCTCCCTTGTACTAATATTTATGTGTGCAAATAAATCAATCAATAATTACTATACGCATTACTATACACTTCATAAACAAATTATTTTAGTTTTGAAGACCAATTGAAAGGGTGATTAACCGCTGACATAACGGTTCAACACATTACACAAACAAAATCACTCACAGTACCTGACTTGTCCAAATATTTCTAACTAGAAGACGATCTTTTACATAAGGTTGATGAAATGATACTGATGAATGATTCCATGATGATGAATGTGTTGATTTTAATGAATCTTTCAAAGGATATTGAATTGCTGAATAAATTGGATCAAATAAATCACTTTGTGAATCACATTGTCTATATGGTGATAAATAATAATGAATAGTGGAATTTGATGATATTCTATTTGAAAATGGTTGTATAACACTTTTAGTATCAGTGCAAATAGGGTAACCATGATAAACTTTAGCTTTTCTACCTTGTTCTATCAAACTATTAGCTTTTTGTTTAATATGTTGCCTAAAATTAAAATAAGTCAAATAAGTAGTATATAGATGAATAACAATTAAAAAAAAACATGTTTAAGCTCAGTTCAGTTTTTGTATAGCACGAAAGGGTAATTATTGATATTCAATTCGACCATTTGGAAAACCTGATCCATACAATGATTTAGAGAATCACGCCGTTCATAGGACTTGGATTTTTACGGTCCAACCCGCAACTTCAATAAGTAGATATGTGTCGATAATAAATCATAACCTAAGACTAATATCAGCCTGCTTGGATGAATAAACTCAAGTAAATCTAATGTGTATAATGCTTTAGTTCTTTTTGCAAAAAGGAAGGCTTTCATATGCTAATCTGTCATGAATAGAAAAAACAACAGGAGCAAGTTGAATGTGTCACTAGCTTTCTTTACTCAGTAACTCAGTGGATAATGTGATGGATTGTGAACTGAAAGGTTCTAAATTCAAATCCTAGTATAGATATCAACATTCGGATGTAAGTATATCTATGTGGCAAGTTACAAATAAAGCAAAAATTGATCCTGGATTCTACTACCAGCCATAATCTAACTAAAAGCGAAAATCTCTTGTCTATGCATTCGTTAAGATTTATAAACTATAGCCTTATGTTTTATCGGTACATTATCCATTTATCTGAGTCTAAATAACAAATGGTAATTTTAATCACTCATCTGAATTGTTGATGTTCTAATGTTGTACGCATTATATCAAGAATCTAACGTCTACTTATATCAGCGTGTGAGACCGAAGATTTTGGGTTTGAATCCCGCCGGCGGAATCGAGGAGTCCTATACTAAAATGAAATGGCCGTCCAATACCTCCAGGTTTTCCTTGATGGTTTAGCTCTGATCGACTCATGAATTCAACTATTGTCATTGTCTTAATTATTGTAAAATCAAATTAGAGTGATTCATAGATTTCATTATGTATTGTTTATGCTTTACGGCAGGACTAAAGCATAAACAATACATAATGAAATCTATGAATCACTCTAATTTGATTTTACAATAATTAAGACAATGACAATAGTTGAATTCATGAGTCTATCAAAGCTAAACCATCATGGAAAACCTGGAGAGGCTGGACTATAATTTATGGATGAACTAATTAGGTAGAAGATAACAGATCTCGAACCTTGGCACGAAATTCATTCATCCATTTGGTTAAATCGAGTTTTCACATTATAGTTGATGTCAGTTTGTGATGAAAACCCCCAAATCAAATTCTTAACTTTAATCATCAACTGTAAATCATAATTCTAAACCCTCACATTGGTTTATAACCCTCATTTAGTCGCAGTTATTAGGTAAACACTCTGAAGATTACTTTGGCGTCACTCCGATGTCGTTCATAAATTATAGTCTCACGCTTTTTAGCTTTCATTTTATAATTTATTAATTCATCTGTATGGCGTAATATGTATTAATATATCCGTAGCATTATCTATCAACATTGTATATTGGCTTACATTTTACTGCTTAATGAATAGATTATAAATGAATAGTTTAACGGAGAAAACTTTCCCCAGTAACAATGAAAATCTGTAATGTGATATTGGCTTTAAAAGACTTAAAAAGGGAGATTCTCAAGGTCTCGAAATATTATTCTAGAATATCACAGAACGTAAATAATAGCTAGCCAATCATGAGAATTGATGAAATCTTTTCGAAGACAGTTCAGTTGAATTTTTTTTGGATTAAATTTACTTAGTATTGTTTATTTGAATCTTTCCATCGATGTGTTAGGACTGCAACTGGCCAGTCTCTAATTGGCATATGTGCATACTGTGTGTATTGCCTCGAGATTGCCTTAATTCACAAGCATGGTAAGCAAAGATGGATAGTGGCTAGCAGAGTTAACATCAACTCTGAGATGCAGGTACATCCAGCTGATGAGTCCCAAATAGGACGAAACATGCGTTCTGGATTCCACTGCTAGTCACTATCTATCTTTTCTTTGGATTACTGTGGCATTTGTTGTACAAGTTTAGGATTAATAATTAATATAGTATAGATGAAACTATCCTAACCTCTTTTGTAGGTTTGTTATCAGACTCTCATATTTGATCTTTATTCAATGATCAATCAATACAAACAACTAAACACCATTGAAAGTCATTTGTGAAACGAATAAATCTGTTTATAACTTTGATCTGGTTTGAGATCTACAATGGGTATCAATTTCTCTATGTTCTCAGATATAGCTTGTTGATGAGCCTCCACTAGTACAAAACTTAGGTTCATGGCTTCTAACCGTTGCTCACTCTTACTCAATAACCAGAAACGGTTAATAAGTTATTTATTTTACGAATTGGTTTTTATCAATAGTCGATACTATTCCTTAATAATTATGATCACTCATATATGGAGCTTTCTCTTTTGAAATGGTTAACAATAAAATAAAACTTTACAATATCAAAAGAAATTAGATTTTGAAGTACACAGTAAGTATGATTATCAATAAATATCTGGGGGAAAGTAATGATCTTGAGCGCTGTTAGATGTATGAGGGTGGTTATCACTTTCCGGTTGCCCATACCATGGAAAGGTTCTTCTAGAGGTACCTGAAAATGAAATTGGGATAGGGTTGGTTTTAGTGACCTGAAAGCGTGACCGCAGTGCCCAAGGGACAACTGCTTGAGGTCGGTCACACGACCTTTTCGTGAGTAATTTTTGTGTTAGCTCCGTACTTGTTGAGACCTTATCACCGGAGATGGATATCTGTGGGATAAGGAGAGGTGTGTATTGATAGAGTCGACCTTTTCCAACTCCAACGCTTATTGTGGGAAGGCAGCATCGCTGTTTTGCTGGTTGTCTGAATGAAACACTTTACTGCCATTACACCTCTGTACAATCAGCAGTATGACTTCAGCTTAGAACCTTGGGTTTGGTGCTTTTGGTCGTACCGTTTTTCAAATGACCTGTCTGACACGGTAAGACCATGGGGGAACAATTGTTTCAGCCAGTATAGCTCAGTTGGTTCATTATGGTAGGCAAGCCCGACTACCACGTCAAGGTAGAGGCAACAGTTAGGATCAAGAAATATCAAACACACATGATAAAGATCCGAAGGGGGTTTTGTGAAGATTTTAGTAATTTTTTATAGTTGACATCATGAGTCAATTGAAGCTAGACCACCATCGAAAACCCGAGAGCACTGGACAGCGGTTTCGTCTTATTGTGGGACTCCACAGTAGTGCATATCCAAGATCCCGCCCCTCGAGATTCGAACCCAGGACCTATCAGTCTCACGCGCGGGCGCTCAATCTCTAGAACCACTGAACTGGGCAGCATCCAACAGTGTTAATGCTTAACTTCAATGAATCCACAAAATTGTGCAACCGTCCACCATTGTCTTCAGTGAGTTACTATCTCACGACAGACCCAGTTGAACTCCACTGCTCACTGCTTCTCATTAGAACTCCAGGAAATAGCTCCTGGATTTTTGTGGATATTATAGTAGTTTCAATAGTTGAGTTCATGAGTCAATTAAAACTAGACCACCATCGAATACCTGAAAGCACTAGATGGGATTGTGAATGCATATTGTTGAGAAGTTTCATACTAGGACAAAATGGCAGTCAAATACCTCCAAATTTTCCATGATGATCTAGCTTTAATGGACTCATGAACTCAACTGTTAAGTAATCTAATAGCTCGGAACGTAATTGAATTCTAAAGCCTACATTTAACATGAAATAAAACGATCAAACATCACTTACATATTTGACTTAAAAGTTTCCTCATCATTTAGACTCTTCTGAATTGTTATTTTATTTAAATTATCATGATGGATTGTATTCAAATTTATTGATTTTTGATATTCTTGAATAGGGTTCTCATTTATAATATGGGAATAACTGGATTGTGTTGATATATTCATAGTAGTAATAGAATTTTTCCAATGAAGAAATTTCTGTGCAATTTTGATAAACTAACAATTGGAAACAAAAAAAGTAAAAAAAAGAAGAATAATAAAAAGCATATTGAGTGATATATAAGTAACTCCTCCTTTAGCTCCTTTGGGAGTTACTGCCGGTCCCAAACTTGGGTAAAGAAGGAGGGTTGGGTATAGGGTTGGCAAACCCATCCCGTAGAAAACCAGCTCACTAGAAAAACGATAACCAAAAAAAATAATTCAAACCATTTAAACTCTACCCTGGGAGTTGAAGGAATAGTTATGACGTCTTATGATGAAAGCCGATTTTCTTCGTAAGTCATGAGGCCGATGTACCTTCTAATAACCGGAGCAACAATTTTTATAGGTACATGGTACGCCCGGACAATGTGGGAGACCGGAAGAGTTTTCTAAATTGCTGCAGAAATGAGGAACTATAAGCTGGAGGTGCTTGGAATCAGTGAAACACATTGGACGCAGGTTGGACAACAACGACTATCTTCATAGGAGCTTCTGTTATACTCCGGTGCGGTGATATATGAATAAAACAAATCTGAAATTTTGTTTCATACTTACTTACCTACTTACTTACTTACGCCTGCTTCCCCCCATAGGCCGCTGACCAGCATAGTAGTCAATTGAAAATCGAAAATTTACTTAGTTTTTATTGTACAATCCTAATGAATTTATACTAATGACCATTGAAAATTCCAGTATTAGACTTGGTTACTTTACGAAGTTTCAAAGATTTTCAATCACCTTGATCTAATACTAGTTGACATAGATTCAAATCTTGTTTGAGGAACATTTCCATTAATGTATTTATTGTTTGGCCAATTAATGAGTGCTAACTATCTCGAAATCCAGGTTAAGAGGTTCATTACTTACTTATTTACTTATGCCCGTTAATCCTCATAGAGGAGCATAGGGCGCTCACAAGCATTGTCCATACAAGATGCTGAAATACAACAGAAGGAAAACCAAATAAATCATACTTCATGGTGAAGCTCTGGAAGAGGTGGAAATTTTCACATATCTGAGCAGCATCACAGATGAACAAGAAGAATCTGATGAAAATGTGAATGCATGAACATGCAAAGTAAGCTCAACATTCCTACACTTGAACAACATATGGAACTCAAAACGAATGTCAACCAATATCAAAGTCAGAATCTTCAAAACGAAAGTCAAGATTGTTATTTCTATAGCATGGAGGTGAAACGTGGAGTACAACTACAACCATCATAAAAGGCGAACAAGTATTTCTAAACAATAGTCAACGTAAGATACTGAATATCCGTTGACCGAATATCATCAGGAACAACCTACCATGGGTGAGAACAAACCGGTTTCCAGCTGAAGATGAAATTAAGAAGTGATGTTGGAAGTGGATAGGATATACATTATAGAAATCATCAAACTGCGTCATGAGACAAGTGCTAACTTGGAATCCTGAAGAGAAACGGAAAGAGGGACATTGCATCGGTAATTGGAAGCAGACAGGAAAATGATGAATAGCAACTGGAAATAAGTGGAGAGAATATTCCAGGCGAGAATTGGATAGAGAATGCTTATGAACGGCCTTTAATTCTCCAAGACAGTTATTATATGCAGGTAAAAGTAAGTTTTCCATGAACTTCAGTCATTTTTGATATTGTGTTAAATGTTTTGTATTCCAAGTAAGTCAATCGAATACACAATGCGATCACTTCATTGACTGATTCCTCCTTTTTTTTGTTTTCTTTCCTTTGGAAAATGTCAGTCAATAATTTTCCTTTCTTGAAAGCCCATAAATCTTCTACTTCATTTAATTAAGCTCAGAAGATCTATCGAATGGTAGATACAATTCATTAACATAAACTATATTCATATTGATGTCATAATCATTCCCTTATTACTATACAACGTATCATCTGCTCTATTTAATATGATTTATATAGATCAACTTAAGTTGTCTCATCCTAGATTAGTTTGATTTATTCCACTTATTACATTCATTGTAATGTCTATTTGATCCTTTCAACATAGTAGTCGATCGTAACTAAGTGAATGAAATGAATAAAAGTATGACTATTACTGTTTCCTTTTAATTTCTGAAGTTTATATATATTACGTAATTATTTTTTTCTAGTTAGCGATTTTTAGCGAGTTAGTTTTCTACTGGATGGAGCAGCTAACCTCATGTTCAACCCTTCTCCTTTATACGGACTTGGGACCGGCAGAAGCCTCTAAAGGAGCTGCAGGCTGAGTAATTATCCGATAAATGAAACAAGAAATTGTTTCGCTAACTTATCAATGTTCAATTTTTTTTAACTTACTTTAAGCACACAGCAGAATGTTAATTACGTTTATCAATACAGGCATTGATCATAAAGTGATAGTCAGTGTTTAGACTACCTAGTATTTAATGATGAACAAATTTTATTGACCAAATCTAATGTAGCCACCAGTCTAAATATCTCAATCCTATGTGATGTCAGATAAAACCTGAACGTTTTAGTAACACGGATTCGAACTCTACATGAACAATCCGTTCTCATGAGACAACAGATACTTCTACAGATGAGTAGCAAATGTATATGATTAATGCCTAGAGTTCCCTGTTGATTAATTTTAAATATTTGTAAGTATGCATTAATATACACAAATCACAATGTTTACTTAAAGTAACAGTCAAATTTATCCCCTCTTCTAGTTCTCTCTTCTTCGATTTTCTTAACCTTCTATCTTCAAGTAATTCACTTTCAATTAATGATACATACTACTTATATGTGTCGATATCAGTAGTACACATCATAATTACATAACATCAGATATATATATAATCTAAATTCCATTGCAATACAAACACACATTGAGATAACTTTCAAATAAGATAAATTTCCTTAGAACAATAAATCATTCATTGCATATATAACCTATGGATCTTAGACATAATTAATGTATTCAAATCAATTTGTATGGATAGTTAATAAATCTTCTTATGTATTGGTAGTTTATTTATGAAAAAAACATGTAAGAGATATATGGACATTTAGCTGTCTGTAAAACTTGAAATCTTGATTTATGCATCAGGTATTCTTGACCAAAAAAAACCCAGCGTTGAATTCATTGTTCCCTCTCTTGCCAGATTACTCCACGTGTAAATCTTCTAAGGCTACTGTCAGTCCCAATCCCAGTTATGGAGGTGGGTTAAGCATGGGATCGACAATCCCATCCTGTAGAAAATGACTTTGCTAAAAATAAATCACTAACCAAAAAAGTCGCTTACCAAATGTAATCAAAGTACAATATTCAGTATTATTAATCACTTATATGAAATTTAGAAAAAAAAATTTGCATAAATAAGACTCGGTAACTGTCTACCTCAATTGACATGGTATATATGTATAACTGTTATGTAATGGTATGAATACATCTATATGTGTGTGTGTGTGTTTGTCCATATGGATACTACACTTTCGCCTGATTGTCTTTCGTCGTCTGATTAAATATGTTGATTACATAATAAATAGTAAGCATAGTTTTAATCATAAAACTGCATAGTGAATATAAATGGAAGGTGATTGGTTAGTTTGACTATGACATAATACATACCAAGGTGTAATAACTGCATATAATGTACAGGATCTATTTACCATACTTATCTTGATTCGATCGTTACAAATGGTTTACAATGAATGTCATACGAAAAGATGGACAAACAAAATTTGTGTGCAATCAGACAGTAAATAAATAATGATCAGAATATGATTTATGAAGATTGTAATAATTTTAATAGTTAAATTCATGAATAGATGTAAACTGGATCACCATTGAAAACCTTTAGATAATGGATGAAGGGTTATGTAAGATAATGGATTGATTGAAGTTAGATATTAACACGATTGGATGCTGACTCAATGGTATAGAGGTTAAGCGTTCATATGTGAGACCGATAGGCCCTGGGTTCGAACCCCTCGTGCGGGATTATGGACGCGCACTGCTGAGGAATTTCATACCAGGATGGAACAGCCGTTGAGTGCTTTCAGGTTTTCCATGCTGATCTAACTTTGATCGACGCATGAATTCAGCTATAAAAGAACTAGAATATCGTATACGTGATTCTCTTTATTCAATAATTTTTTTCTGCATGTATAGTAAGTAGTAAATATGTGAAAAGAAAGGTAAGTTTCATTTAGAGATTCAATACTCAGTTGTTGTAAAGTCGTAAGGCTTTATTAAGATCATAAAATGAACAATAATAGATAGTCAGTGAAAACTTGAAAGCAATAAACGATCGTTTCATCCTAGCATAAGACTCTTCAGAAGTGCACAATTACGATCCCGTATGCGAGATTGATGTTTTTATTTCTGCTGTATGATGTCCTGTGTTTATAACTTCACTTGATGTTGCTCACTTGTATCTTCCTACTGATCTTCAGGACTACAATTGATCAGTTTTTTTGTTAACATATGTGCATCCTGTGCGGACTGTCATCAGCTTTATAGGCAGCTGACGAGTCCCAAGTAGGACGAAACGCTCTTCGAATCGGACTCCATTTTTAGCCACTATCCATCTTTGTTTAAAATGTCTTATGTTTATACCTTAACTGTTTTATCTATTCTCATCTTGGTTTTGTTCCTCAAAATATTCCGTGTTTTTTGCTTGAAAAAATCAATGAAGATAAAATAACAAGAACAACAAGAACAACAACAAAAAAGGGGGGGAACTTACCCAAACAGTAAATGGTATTGATTTTATATTTGACAATTGATGTTTTTCATTCAAATTTATTTTAGTTGTTAAGGTCTTAATTAAAATTTGATTTGATTGATCTAGATCTAAATTATTTACATTTGAATATTGTCTATTACATAATGATGTTAATTGTTGTGGTACCAAAGGATGAATTTGATTTTCAATGATACATTTTGAATTGGAACCATTTTGTATGACATATTTATCACTAGATTAAAATAAGAAAATCATATGAATTAGCGTAGTAATGTTTGTTTTAAAATGTATATACATCCAGTTGACGATTTCTGAATAGGACGAAACGTTCGTCAAACTGGATTCCACTGTTAACCACTATCCATCTTTGCTTATTATGCTTATAACTTAAGGCCATATCGAGGCATTACGCATAGTATAAACATATGTCAATAAGAGAATGATCAATTGCAGTTCTGAACATCAATAGGAAGATTCAAAACAAACAATAACAAGTGAATTTAAACTTCACCTTATTGCACAAGCAAGTGGTTATCAGCACTCAGTAGCTAAGTGGATAACACGATGGCGTTCAAAGAGAACGGTACTAGGTTCGAGTCCCTGAGTGAACATCAACTGCGCGATGCAGGTATATCCAGCTGACGCGTTCGAAATAGAATCAAATTTCAGTCATGGATTCAGCTACTAACCTTTATCCATCTTCATTATATATATATATTGTTTGTAATATTCTTTTCATATGACGTATAATGTTTATCCAGCAATGTACTTTCCCTTGCTATGTAGATTTTCTCAGCGGCGAAAAATGTCGTCTCCCGAAGTTCATTTATGGAAAGTACTCCTTATGCATACATAGAATGAAACATAGTCGATTAAAAGTTCCATTGTTGAGTACTTACTTATTTCTAATCATTTAGGTTAGTCATCATTATCATTTAGAATTAAACATAATATTAGGCAAATCTTATCAAAGGGAGTATACATCGAAAGGTCATGTGATCTGAAAACTAATGAATTAAGACTTAACTTTGTGCTCTACGGTAGTTTGTTCAAACATTCATGATACTTGTGTTTTAACACATTTAATGTGGGATTCTTAATAACAACTAAACATTCTCATAGTTGAAAGCGTGAGTCAATTGAAGCAAGACCACCACTGAAAACCTGCAAGCATTGTATGGTAGTTTCGTCCTATTGTGGGACTCCTCAGCAGTGTGCATCCACGACCTCGCTTTGCGAGATTCAAACCCAGGACCTACCAGACTTACGCCAGAGCATTTAACTGATAGACCACTGAGCCAGCATCCGGTGGTGTTTATGTTTAACTCCAATCAATCCACGAAGTTGAGCAACGGTTCACCAATTGTCTTCATTGAGTTGATATCTCACAACAGACGTGGTTTGAACTCTACTGGTCACTGCTTATCACTAGAACTCCTGAATATACCTCTCTAAGTCAGTCACTAGTGGCATATGATTATTATTATCAGAAGGGGTTTTTTCTGTGGAGATTTAGTATTTTCAAATGACTGATGCTTTCAACTATGAAAATAGTAAATCTCCACAAAAAAGCCCTTCTGATAACATTCATCAAAAGTCAACTACCTGACATGCATCTATATTTATTATATATTTATTTTTGTTTGATAACTTCGTTTTTGTTTGATTCATAATCCAAGTTTCTTCATCACTACGTCTCAGGATCAACCTAAAAGTCATCTACTTGTGTTTTAGGTAACCAATGAATATTACTGAGTATTTTCAAATTGTAAGTTGGATTGTTTAGATCTGAATCAGACTATTTGTAATTAATACAGCAAATTCAAATCGTCTAAACTGTTTGAAAGACGCCGAATGAAACAGTTAAATGAATATCAGTTAAAGGACAAATATTGAACTAACCTCTATATTATACAATAAATAATGGTTATGTAATCAGTGGTCATTCGGTGGATCTGATGCAGATGTGAGGGCGAGGGTCGGCAAAGCAAGAGCAGCATATTTACAACTGAAAAACATCTAGAGCTCAAAACAATTGTCAACCAACACCATCAGAATTTTCAATACAAATGTCAAGACAGTTTTACTGTATGAGGCGGAAACCTGGAAAATTATGAAAGCTATCATCCAGAAGATGCAAGTGTTTATTAACATTTGTCTACGCAAAATACTTTGGATCCGTTGTCCAGGCACTATCAGCAACATTCTACCGTGAGAGAGAACTAACCAGATCCCAGTGGAGGAAGAAATTAGGAAGAAGCTATGGAAGTGGATAGGACACACATTGAGGAAATCGCCCAACGGCATCACAAGACAAGCCAACACACGGAATCCTGAAGGCCAATGTAAAGAGGAAGACCAAAGAACACATTACGTCGAGAAATGGAGACAGGCATGAGAAGAATGAACAAAAGTTGGATAGAACTAGAAAGGAAGGCGGAGACCAGAATGTGTGGGTTGAAGAATGCTGGTCAGCGGCCTATGTTCCATTGGGAGTAACAGGTGTAAGTAATTAAGTAAGAAAGTAATCAGTGGTATTTCATTTTGAGACGATTGTTAGATAACTTATGACTTGTGAAGTGTAAATACTTTTTTTTCAATGAAATAGATATCACAAATAAGGTTTAAAATTTTGAACTGTTATATTTTGACTCGATAATCTGAAGATATATTATGAACTTCCAGCTTAGAAGTTCCAAACTAATAAAGAACCATTGGCTAATAATTTCAGTATTCAAGTCATGCTGTTATGGACATCAATCCATGAAGAAAGCCTTTTTCAGAGAGTTAAACTGATTCCACTTTTTACTAACATGTATCTTTAACAACAGCAATGTTGAAAAAAAGTCAATTGTAATCATATACTACTTATATCAGTCATGGTACGCAATCAGTCAACAAGTTGAATTCAAATATATAAGCTCGTAAACATCTATTAGGATTGAAATTTTGACCATGTTGATTAAATAGGAGGTAATTTTGCTCTCACAATGGATGTAACTTTCAACAAATATCCTGATATTTATGAATGATATGCAATTGAGTAATCACAAGTTACGTTGTCGTAAGTAACCAGCGGTAAAGCTCTGTACTTAGATTTCATGAATAATGATTGTGTACTCAGTGGCGCGAGTGTTGTTTACAAAAATGAGAGGTCAAAAAAAGAATGTCCGGAACGTAAATCGAGTTGCTGGATATGGAGGATCCACCTAGGGGAGTTGCAAAACCCTGATTTCAAAACAGTGATTTACATGGACTCCAGGATCCTGAGGAATTAAATGGCATATGAACCAGTCGTTGGTCACCGGCTACCATGTGATTGCATTTCCTGACGTTGCTCCACTCCCTTGCGGATCAGACCTTTAGGTCAAAGGCTCCGGGTGTGGCTTTCTAAGAAAACCACCTGCTTCAGTCTGGGCAACCGGACATCATCAAAGCACACACACACAAATCACTTGACTTGATCAGATCGACGGTTATTCCAGCTTTCATCATTATTACTGTGTTTCATTTTTATCACTGGAATAATTCAAATGGTCTCCATAAACTGAATTTAACATTACAAAAACTTACAAAGGGCTATTTTCGTTTCATCAAAAACTTTAGTAACTACTTAGTGTATTTATTAAACAAACCATGTATATTTCATTTTCATTTTACGATATATATTGATATATAAATTGGTTGTTAAGTGAGACTATAATTCATGGACGACATTTGAGCCACGCCAAAGTGATCTTGAGAGTGTCCACTTAATAACTAGGACCAAATGAGGGTTATAAACCAGTATGAAAGATTATAAATATGATTTACAATTGATGGTTAACGTTAAGAATTAGATTGAGGGTTTTCATCACAAAATTGACATCATCTTTATTGTCTAAACTCTATTGAAGTGGATGGGCATTTCTGAGGAGTCCCACAATAGGACGAAACGACCGTCCAGTACTTCCATGTTTTCCACGGTGGTCTAGCTACAATTGACTCATGATTTCAACTATGAAAAAACTCTATTTAACCAAATGGATGATTGAATTTCGCGGCCAAATCCGAGACCTATTATCGTCCATAAATTATAGTTTTGCTGGTTGTTACAAATTAAAGTCCATTTGTTCATAATTTGATACTGATAGTCAACTCGTATTTACTTAATAATCAATTTTAAATGATCTAATTTAGTTACTAAGTTATTTAGAATTCTTATTCTATAAATTACATAACCGATTCCGATATTCATTCTGTTACCTTTATTACATTGTATATGTGTAATTTATATCAAATGTTCCCTTAGTAACAAGAATGAATATATTCATATGAAGAAAAAAAAATGGCGGAACCATTTTTTTCAATCTTTGTCTGACTTGGATAGATACATAGACAGATAGTAGGATAGACAGAAAAGTACAATGACAAAGATAAACATTATTAAAATGTAATTAAGTTGACAAATTATTCTCAGATCAAATACATTTTTATTTGTTATTACATAATTAGTTTCAATATATTAAATACAATAACTACTTTTCAATTCAACTTAGTATTGTTTGTTTGATTCTTCCCATTGATGTGCTAGGACTACTGGACAACTGGTCAGTCTCTAGTTGGCATATGTGTATACTGTGCGTATTGAGTCGATATAGCCTTATTTCACAAGTATTGTAAGCAAACATGGATAGTGGCTAGTAATGGAATCCAGTTTGACAAGCGTTTCGTCCTATTTGGGACTGGTCAGCTGGATGTACCTGAATCTCAGACTTGTTGATGTTCACTCTAGGACTCGAACCCAGTACCATTCGTTTTAAACGCCATCGCGTTATCCACTCGGCCACTTAGTCCTGATAGTCACTTGCTTGTGCAATGGGGGGAAGTTTAAATTCAACTTAGTATTGTTTGTTTGAATCTTCCCATTGATGCTTTTAGGACTGCAACTGATCAGTCTCTTATTTATATAGTGTTTTGGTTAATTAATATAAACTAAGGGACAAAATAAAGATGAAAATACTAGATTGAGTGGAAACCAAGACTTATTCTTCGGGCTAGTTGACATCCATCAACATTAGATAACTCTGTTCTTTAGGAACGGATGTACTTTGTTGGAATCGGATATGACAAAGTAATTGTTACAATTTATTCACTACTAATGACTGGAAAGACAATACTTTTGCGTCTGCTTAATGATTAGATGAGGTAAGGAAGAAAATAACCTAATTTCATGTCAATCAGCAGAACTAA